CAATAATTTTCATAATTATTTAAACATTTTTAAACACCAAAAAATAATTATAAAAACCCACACATTATGGAAAATTACAAATCATACACTGATAAGTAGATCCATCAACCAGCATTCCAGAAATGTAAATAACATCACTAAAACATGTTTAGAAATCAAGTACTTTTGAGAGTGTGAAATTCCAGAATATCTCAAAAATATATAATAAATATTTAACATGTTCATAAAATTCCAGAAAAAATATGGCAACACATAACATGCAATCTTAAGTATTATAGTGAAAACGACATGTCAAATTCCGACATTTCTATGGCAGGGGGTGAAATTTACCCTCCTGGAGTGAGAGTGGGAATGAACAGTAACAAATGTTCATCGTAACCTTTGAACATAAGCATTTTCAGGATATTTTAATCTGCCCCAAAATTTTAAAACATCATAACTTTGCAATTCGAACTCCGATTTTGACAAATAACATATCGTTAGAAACCTCTTGAAACAAGGATTCCAATGATATCAAAATCGAAAATTAATTTGCTTTATACTAAAAGTTATGCAGAATTTAAAGTTACGGGTTTTATAAATATTATTTTGATTTTCATGCAATATACTCTAAATTATCATTTCAAAATCTCTAGGATGTATCATAGATCAACAAGCCATAACATACTATGAAATCATGACAATTCAATATTTAAAACATACACTACCATTAACAGAAAAAATAAAATAAAAAATAAAAAATAATGTTATTTTCATTCAATTCCCACACAAAACATCTTAATAATCAATTATCACTTAATGAACATGAAACATGTGATAATTAAGCATGAAAATACTCAAAACTTACTCTGATACCAAATGAAAGATTAAAGATTAAATTTACAAATTATCATCATCATTATTCTGTAAAATGTGGAATAATTATTTACATACCTCCGTTGGGGCCTGGTGTAATTCCTGCCATTGTTGTTCACTTCCACAAAAAACTCAATTGACTTAAGGATTTCTAAGCGTTTTTCTCAGACTCTGATAGGAACCTACTCTAATAACTCAACAATTTGGACTAGGCCATGGGTCTTTTATGAGCTTAGGTAGAATTCTCCTTAGAAAACCGGCTTGCCAAGGGAGGGTTTCCAAGCCTTTATAACCCACATGCCCACCATTTTCCCTTTCAATGTGGGATCCTAACATTCCACCACGCTTCCGCAACCGACGTCCATGTCGACCTCTTTACCCCCGTCGACCTCTTTACCCATTGGGTGACTACGCGGATCTCCTTTCCCTCGGGTCTCCATGCCTTTTCTCAGTGTAACAGCCCGGGCTCAAGGTCAGCTTACCACGCATGCCACATAGGCATGCTCTGATACCAATTGATAGGAACCTACTCCAATAACTCAGCAATTTGGGCTAGGCCATGAGTCTTTCATGGGTTTGGGTAAAACTCTCCTTAGAAAACCGACTTGCCAAGGGAGGGTGTCAAAGCCTTTGTAATTCACATGTCCACCCTTTTCGCTTTCAATGTGGGATCCTAACAGACTCACAATTAGGGAAACCAGTCCCTAATTATATAATCACCACCCAAGATCCCAAGTGATTACTGAGGTGGTTATCTCAAGTTACATCCACTTTCTAATGGAAGTGGATTGTAACTGCCCATAACTAAGTAGTAGTTAATGGGCTACTTATACCCACATCATGTTATATTTTCGTTCACCAGACAACCAGAGTTAATTTGTTACTCTCAAGTTTCACAACATTGTACTTCAGCAGTTTTAGCATATTTGGAAATTGGTAACAGCAACAAGAAAATTATTGAACTACCCGAGTTAAAGCATAGGTCAAGCATTCAATATAACTCAAAGATTTTTAATCAGTAAACACAACATCTCTTGTAAAATCTATAGAAACTAAAATAAGCAGCAGATATTTTCTCTAGCCGAGAAACATAATCCTCTAAGCCCACCTTAGATTCATTTTACAGGTGAAAAGTATATTATGCGAAATGACAAAGTGCACACCTTTAGGAGGTTTTAATTAAATGATGACATTATAAATCCTTACTGTAAATTAAACAGTCAGAGACTTTTATGATAGGATTATTGAAAAATGGAATTTGGAAGGGAACTACCTTCAGGAAGAGACGCCTAGGTCATCTATTAGGCCACAGGGTATTTATTTCTTTGATCAAGCCTCCTGGGATAGCATAATTAGTTGTGTGATCAAACACATCCATCCAGAATATCATTTAATTATAAGACTGAAATTAATAAGAATTGATTACAAAACAAACTAGCTTCAAGTCATTTCATGACAAATTTTCTATAAACCCAAATCATAATTATGCTCAATCAATTCCCATGAAAATCTATAAAAATAGTTCTTTGAATTATTTATATTTATTCAGTGATACCTGATTCATAAGCTTCAAAAGGATTAATCCAACTTCTCTATCAGCTCCAATTTGTGTCAAACCTAGCAGCAACAAAAGCATCCACCTCCTTGATAAAGATAACTGCAGGAGCATTTCCTTTAGCAGGATGGAATCTAACACCAACCATGCAATTGGCCTGATGTATACAAAATGAAAGATATCATAAATTATAACTCCCTAAAAGTATAAATGATATTGAACTGCCAAAATTAAGGAGAATACTCCTTTCCACTAATGATAAAAGCTTTGCAGTTATCCAGCAAGCACACAAGAATTGTAGAATGTTAAGGATAACCTATCAAATTATAGCACAAGTTTCATCCAACGTAGTGAAAGACATAAGAAGTTGTGAATTTGCCCGTCATACTTATGAACAAATCCTGAGCTAACCACTCTAATGAATGATGCAGTAGTAAGATTAGAAATAGCTTTGGCATGTGTGGGTTTTTCGATTCTCAGGAAGGGAAAACTAGAATGCTGTTGTTGGAGAAATATCCTTGCTCTAATCATCATATGCTATCTCTAATAGTTTAAGCCTCAGTTGGGAAGAAAAAGGCTCAATAGTGTTTTTATTTATAAATAACAAATAACAAGAATAAGAAAACATTGGAATAGGTGTTGCATCTTCAAATGATTTGATAGAATAAATTCAATAATTTTACACTTCTCCGAATGCCAAGGACTTAAAATTATTTAATTGAAAAAATTTACCACCTTGACATCACAATTAATAAACTGATGAGTATTCTAAAACAAATGATAGTGTTTTGTAAGTTTTTTTAAAAAAAAAAAAAAAAAATTGAACCAATTGTAAATATGCTCTGAAAATTATCAAACAAAGATGATATAAAGTTCCATTTACTGTTTAAATTCATTCCCTCACCCATCTATGACATAGCAGCTTCAATGTAAAAATTCAATAGTATAGCATTACATAGTAAATTCAGAATAGAAAAACAGTATAATAACTTATTACTCTAGCTGGGGGCTTAACCTCCTAAAACAAGGTGTAATGATGTGCATTTACTTCAACAAAAACATGCATATTTGAAGAAATTAATTAGAACAAAGAATGAGCTCAATTCCCCCAAGCATCATGCATAGGTCAGTTGAATCAAGTGTTTCAAAAACTCTGCATTTTAAAAAATTAAAATGAGTGTATCAAAACGAGCAAAGTTCTATCACATCGAACCAACCACTAATTTAGTATTAGGCAGGGAAAACGTACAGAATACAGCAACAAATTTTAAAAGCAGTAATTTCCCCATGAACCATAGAACTCAGGCAATGTATCAAATATAAACATAACCAACTGAATGCCAGCCTCAGAATTAAGCATTTAAGAAAAACTTCAAATTTTGATACTAAGCAAATCACAATGCATATTACTTGAAGCTGAAAAGTCCATCAGTATAACTAGTACTCAGTTTGAAATGCAGGAACACAACAAAAGCCTTATAGTGCTTTACACAAAAGCTTGTTGTGCTGCATGAAATGGAAATGTTGTTGATTAAATAAGTAAATGGAAAACACTATTTGATGAAAGTGAAGGTAAAATTTCAAACAATATAAGCTTCTAAAATGTATTACTTGTTCTCATAGCAATCAACCTATCATAATATGCGAATTAAATAAACCTTATCATAGAAGGTCTCTAGTTTTAATATTTCTTAATGGAAAAAAGAATAACCAGAGAGCTGAACTATGTTTCAGCATTTATAAACACAGGCAATACCTTATATTCAACAGTCAAAGATAAAAAAATAGCAGACTGATATTACTCATTGAGAACAATTTCTAAACACTATAAGCTTTTAGTGACAATAATTTCTAAACAATCACTATTTCTTCATCAGATCTACAACTTAAACTTCTACTTGTGACAGCATGATCAAAGTAGTCAACATGACATTCCTAATTTTATTGTCCTCTTCCCAAAAACTTGATTGATTGCACAAATTCTCGGTAAAAATGTTACACATCATACATAATAACTTAATACAAAGTAAAACTAGGCTTAATATTATTCTAGCTCTAGAAAATCAATATATGAGAAACTTAAATCGATTAACTGTAGAACAATAGGGACTTTAATCGATAAGGTAAGAAAATATTAATCCTATATAGAAACCTAAAAAATTTAAAGGTTAAAATACTAACATAAAATAAGAGTCTAATAGACATTATGTGAATTGAATTAAACTGATCACTCATCCTAAAATTAGCACTAATTTGTTTTTCTTCTGAATATAAAATAAATATATATAGTCATCAACTTCGTTTTCTTCTATTTTCTTTATGAATGCAAATAATTAGCCACCACTTAGAGGAGGGATAATGGCCAATTCATCTTTGTCTTTAGCAATAATTGGGTCATTTGCATATTCCTCGTTTAAAGCAAGAACCATGCAGCCACGGATCTCTTCCAAGCTTGGAAACTTTGCAACAAGCTTGTTCAAGCAATCTTCAGTTGTACTACCATATGATACTTCCAGAGGTAAATCACTTAAACGGTTAAATCTCGAGCTCTGGCAAAGAACAATACCTTTATTTGAACCGATGATTTGTTGTTCTCTATAGATATACAATCTGAATTCCAAGACTTGGTTTCTCTTTCTATAGCATCTATAGTAGATACAGAAATGTGTCAATTAAAATGGAACTTCTCACTGCAACAATGTCAAATTCTAAACCGTGATAAAAATCAATATCGAGAAGCGACATAATTGCCAAGAGTTACATCAGAGAGAACAAGAATCTAAGTTCTCTGAACAAATAGTCCAGATGGAAATCATTTGTAAACGAAAGTAATCAAATCAATCCAACATTGTCCCACAACTCACAAGTAGAAGGCATTCACAGATTCATCGAAGTCAAGTTTATAACTATTCTTACAGTGGTTGATTTTTAAATTGCCAAACAAAGCCCAACTAAAAAATGTTTCAAATCCTAGAAGATAAAATCACTGTAACATGCCTGCCAGTAGAACTTATTCCCCTTTGATAAACTAGAATCTAAGTAGGTAATCTCACCCTAAAGACCTAACAAGAAGATTGGTACTAGCACTGTAATCATAATATCTCATCAGTGAATTTTAGGCTATGCCCTTCCCAGCAAATAGAGGAAATATGTAAATTTGAGCATAAGTTCCCAGTGGCAGAGCCATCTAATGCCTCAGATAAAAGATTACACGGTGTCAATTAAAACATATAACCCTACTTATTTCATTTCCTAAGTTTTGGCACCTCCATTTACTTCATTTTACATCATTCAAAATTGACCCTATCTCAAACACTTACAGTCCTTGTATCAAATAATGTATACCTTTTCCATCATGTTGAGGTGAATGAAACCTGCATAAATTCAAAGTTAAACTCAGAATGTTACTACTGATATGTGTATGAAACTATCAAGAAACAAGTTGAAGACCACTCTGTTAATGTGTATCACTGTATTGTATACAGAGGTTTAGCTTACTTCAGGAAACAAAAAGAACCCAACATTCTATTCAAGAAACCATTCAGGACGGCAATATAATCTCCCCTAACATCAACAATATGCTTTTGCCCTTTTGCAACACAACTCAAATTTCAGAAATTAACTGAGTGAAATCTTTTTTTAACTGTAATTCAAAATAAGGAAGTAGTGAAACATCAACTAAAAATAGCCACAATTTTTCCGGATAATCATAGGGAGTTTGGGAAGTGCCTCTGGAAAATGTTGTCAAATAGTTAAAAGCTAAAAGCTGTAAGCTCTACTGTAGTGTCTAGCTGAAACCAATAAAAATGCTTTTAAAAAAGTGCTTTTTGGAGAAGCACTAGATAATTCTCTATTTATCTTGTGGCAACAAACAGCTCTTAAAGAGTAAAGTGAGTTCTAAAAAAACACTTAATAAACATTTTCAGAAAGGTACACTTAACTGCTTTTATGAAAAGCACTTCTACTAAAAAAACACTTCCTTCAAAATCACTTTTAAACCCAGCTCCACAAAATTAACACAAAGCCACTTTTGAACATTTAAAAGCACTTCTGGCAGTTCCCAAAGCACTCTCAAGTCCAACACACACTATCATGTTGGCTCTCAATTAGCACAACCAGCATTCAAAAACAACAAAACCTTGAATATTTCAGCTCCCACAAAAAGGAAAAAACAAAGTCCTTGCTCTAGATATCACATATGTCACTCATAAGTCATACCCAGAAAAAAAAAAAATTAAAACAGAAAAATAATAATTATTCATGAATCAGTAAATTGAATAGTTACGAGCAATGAATCAGGATTATATTAATATACAGAAGTATAGAACCAAATTTAAACCAAAACCCAGCAAACAAATTCAAAGAATAAAAAGCTATTGTAAAGGAGAGTTAACGGGAACCTGAAGAGAAGGTCGTGGGGGAGACGGTGGAGCATTGAGAGAAGAGGAAGACGAAAATGAAGCGACAAAATTGAAATAAGAATGATTTGTGGAATTTATTTTCAGAATTAAATATTATTATGTTCTTTTAGATATGTGAAAGGCTATGCCGCTATGGTGGGATGGGATGGGATGGGATGAGCTAAATAACCATGTAATATAAGTATATTTTATATTTTATTTAAATATTGTTATATGAATTCTAAGTAATTCTAACTATTATTTTTTGAGAATAAGAGATTAATATGATAGTGATGGTGGGTTAATGTATAAAATTAAAGTTTATAGGGATTTAATTATATTTTTTATATATTTAAGTTGATTAATGATGTGGAAGTGGCCCCCAGTTTGTCACATCATTTGGGATACTATTTTTAAGATAAGAGTTCGGACTAGACCTACAATCTTTGACCGGTATTTGTGGGTATACGAGTGTCTGAGTAAAATGGACGGTTATGGATGTCTATAATATTTATCCGTTCCAAAGTTATTTGTGCTCGGTCCGCTCGTAAAATTTGAGAGTGGGCTGGGTGATACCCGCGAGTACCGACAGAATTTAAAACAAATTGAAATAGGAATAATGCTATAGGAATTAGAGATTTACGGTCTCGTTTTGTAATTCATTATCAAGAATTTAAACTCTTGATTTTCACAGTTATATACAGTAAAATCTCTTTATAGTCATAATGGGGAGATTAATTAATTTTATTACTATAAGGAGGTTATAACTTAATAAAGGTGTGATAACAAAGATTTCTTTATAATTCATGTTTTAGTAATACAGTATTAAGATTTCAAATGATGTTTTAATATTATTAAGATTTCAATTCAGCGCTTCAATTGCCTACTTTTGAAACGGATAGAAGATCGTGTTTTGAAACCAGCAAAGATAAGTGTCCTTGATGGAATTATAAATGCAGTTGCTGCATGGTCAAATTGATGTGAAGCCATAAACTATTGTCAATTGTTTTAATCATTACAAAATTATACAGCAAATTGATGTGAAGCCATATATCATTGCCAATTATTTTAATCATTACCAAATTAGGATCCCCAATGTCGATGAATTACAAGTTACAAATGAAGTGGATGAGGAGAATCAAAGAGTCATTGTAGAATTTAGTGATCAGATTCGACAACTTCATTGCACTAATCAAATGAATATTAATGTCTTTCTCAATCATCAAAATGAACAATAAGTCATGTATACTTCAACTAAAGAAGAAATCATTACTATAATTAGACAATAAGTTAAAGGAAATAATCATGCTGATGATAGTACGGAAATACAAAAAGTTTGTGTCAAGAAACTTTAAACATACTTGAAAAACTAGAAATATAGGACTTCAACAAGAAGATGTTCATGCTAGCGAGTAATCAATCCGCAAGTTAAAAAATGTAGTAACAACTCTAAAGCATAAATTATTATCTCAAACAACTTTAGATAAATATTTTATTTCATCTTAAATCTTTAATGTAATATAACATACATATATATATATATATATTTTGTAATATACAGATAATTATTATTATGTGGAGGCAACTTTTCTTAAGATAGGATTAGAAAAATTATAACTTATTACAATATAGAATTTATTCTTATTTATAACTATCCCGAATTAGGAATTGAATTTTGTATGACTATGTAAAGTTTATTCTTATATAGAGTATTACTATAGAAATGTTTTACTATATATATATATATAGTCGAGAGAGAGAGTTTTAGATCTGTGTTGTTGATGGCAGAGGCAGCGACAGTGAAGAAGATTTGTGTTGTGAAAGCCATTGTTCTTATCTCCACTGCCTACTTCTTCTTCCTTTACTGTGGTTGCAACTTTTGATTCTTAGTTTTCTATTTTCTCCATTACACCCATGAATAATGCTTAAACCAAAAAAAAAAAAAAAAAGTAGATAGTGGTATTGGGTGGAGTCTTACTCAGAATGGGTAAGAATGAGTGCGGTGATGAGCTTCGCTTGATTCAAAATTTTATTGTAAGAAGAAATGAGAGGAAGAAGACAAGATTAGAAATGAGAGCCCAAGTAAAAATACAAATATGCGCAATTATCAAGAGAGTTCTATCTTTTTATCTTTTTGGGTTTTGTATTTTTTACAGGTAACCTGCAGGTCCACCGTACCTGTATGGGCGAGTACGAGTCATGCATATTTTTATCCTTCCAAAAATTTACCTGTTTACCTATGCCCGTTTTACCTGTTACTTGCAGTTACCCGGCCCATACCCGCCTGGCCTGCACCTTTGCTAGGTCTAGTTCGGACAGGGTAGTATTGTTGTTTATTTTATTTAATAAACTGAATATATTATTTTTTATTTAAATAAAAACTCTAAAAAATTATATTTTGATAGTGGTCAATCATCGGTGAACAGTGCTAGCCCAACAACATTTTTTCACGTTTTGACATCACTGCTAACACGTGCAGAATTGGTATTCGATAATCTAATAATCTAGGAAAATTCATGCTGTCGAAGATTGGCGAAGTGACATCACATGCAATGACATATTATTCATGTTGCCACACATGATGTCACCTATGGTGTCTGTGGCCATCAGAACCTGCCCAAACTATCATACGTAGGTTCTGCACTTGTCGGTGATTATGCTGATAGGGTGTTTCCAACGACAATCGACAACCGGTGACAATGACGTGGTAGTGTTGTTGGTGGTGGTAGAGGTTATGGTGATAAGGTTTTTAATTATTAATATAATAATATAATAATTATTAAATTATAAAATAATTAAATTCTAAATCAACTGTTTCAAAGAAAAATTGGGAAAAAAAAAAAAAATAGGGGCAAAAAAGAATTTCAATAGTATTCCTACTCTTGGCCTTAGAGAAATAGCATTCCACCATTTTAGAATGAGTAACACTACACTCACTAACACTTCTCATTAATTTTCTCTCACTAGTGTCACGTGTCAGCTCATAATTCATCAGTTCACATGGGTCTCACCTGTCTAATAATGGTTCCCGCCTAACCAAGCTAATCGCAAACTTTCACATGGGGTTAGTGAGAGGAGTTAGTGAAAGGGTTAGTAAGGTTAGTGTTATTGTTTTGGAATAGTTGGTTACTGCAACATCGTTTGAGATGTAAAAAGTGAAATATAAACTTGAAATGCGTGTTTTTCCATGAATTAAATAGTCTCTTTAATACTTTAAATTTTTTAAGGGGGTGTTTTAACATCTATGAAAATCAAGTGAAAACTTTCAAAAATCATATGTGTATTTTTAAAATTAGAAAAAAAGAAGAAGGAATTTTAATGAAATTTGATCTTTTTAAAATGTAAATCATAAAGATATGTAAATATCAAGAATGAAATTTTATGATTTACATTTTTCAAGAAACTATTTTGTTCCTTCCCATCAACCTCTCTAAAATATCTAATCAGAAAAGTTAAATTATATATGTTGATGTTAATTTTCAAAATTGTTTAGAGGAAAAATAAAAATTAAAAAAATTGAATTTCAAAATTTCAAAATTTAGGAACAGATTTGATGTCATTAATTTCTAAAAATAGGAATCCTAAATTAAAATTACAGAAAACGCATTTTCTACAAAGTTTTTTGAAAAACAATAAAAAGTAAGTTTTAATCTTATTTTTGTAATAACGTAATCCTTAAGGTCACTTATAAAAAGTTATAAACTACTCAAAATTTAACCATCAAAGGCTGAAATTTTAGGTATTTGGAAGGCAATCTCAAAATTATAGTGAAATTGTTTTCTTGGCTTTTGAGTAATAATTATATAAGATAAATGGTTGCTAATATGTTAAAAATTAAAAATGTATTAATGTTTGATTAGTACCAAAGCAAAGCAAGATCTTGTGCTGATAGTTGCTTTTCTTTTTCTATCATTACGCCAAGTATATATTACTTTTCTTCTAGCTTAATTGGGATTAATTTCCATTTAGTCAAGTATCATTTTTCATATTTTAAATTTTTGTGTTGATCAAGATGGAATTACTTTTGTCTATAAATATGAGTAACATGATCTTACAATCACTTTTACAGCTACCCTTCTAACTTCACCCTTTAAAATCATTTTTTATTACTGAAACCAAGAACAAATGGCAGAAGGAATTGTATTTGGCATTGCAGGGAAAATCTTCAAATGTTGGGGTCTTGTTTGCCGAGAAGCAAATTGGCATGGGGTGTTAAAGATGAGATTCAAAACTTAGTACCACTGTCCACACTATCAGACTTGTACTTCTCGATGCTGAGGAGCAGCACAGCATAAAGAACTATGCGGTGACATATTGGATTCAAAGGCTCAAAGATGCATTTTATGAAGCTGATGACTTGTTGGACGATTTCTCTACTTACCTTCAACGGCGAGAGGTAATGACTGGAATAAATTGGCATGGAGGTATGCATCTTTTTCTCCAATATAATCAGATATATAGGTTTAATATAGCTCATAAGATTAAGACTATTAGGGAGAAACTATGTGATTGAAAAAGATCAGAAGTTCCAACTTATTAAGAGTCTTGATGAAAAAAGAGTCATGGATATAGGAAGGGAACACACCTCTTTTGTACGTGCTGAAAGGTTGTAGGGAGAGATGATGATTAAAAAAAGTTATACAACTTCTATTGGACTCAAACGTTGATGAGAATGTTTCAATCATCTCCATATTTGGATTTGGAGGATTAGGAAAGACTGCACTTGCCAACTTATATACAATGATGAGCATGTTATAAACTATTTTCAATTAGGATGTGGGTGTGTGTATCAAATACTTCAATGTGAAAAATTGTGGGAAATATCATAAAATCTGCAACTGGTAGAAAACTGAAGGACTTGAAATAGATCAATTGCAAGAATGCTTGCGCAAGAAATAATTAATGGGAAAAAATATTACTAGTTTTGGATGATATATGGATGAAAATCCCATTATGTGGGACAAATTAAAACTTTGTTAATGGTGGTGAAAGAGGAAGTAAGATATTTGTAACTACACGTAGTGAGCAGGTTGCTAGGATTACTAGCACACTTAACTCTTATGTCTATCCTTGAAAGTGCTAGAAAAACAATTCTTGGTCTTTGTTACGCAGATAGCC